TTTGGATATCTCGACGATATTCTCGTATTTTCAAAAGGAGAAACAGAACACATAGCACACCTGACAAAAATATTCGAACAACTTAAAAAATATGGCGTAGTTATTAATACCAGCAAGTGTGTCCTAGGTGTCAGTGAGGTTACCTTCTTAGGGTATCACGTGTCTGCAGCCGGTATACGACCTCTCCCAGATAAAGTACAGGCTATTCAAGACTACCCCCTCCCTAAAACAGCTAAGGAGTTACGGAGATTCTTAGGGATGATAAATTTTTACCGGAAGTTCCTACCTGCTGCCGCGCAAATTCAAGCACCCCTGAACCAAGCTTTAAGTGGTCCTAACATTAAAGGGTCAACGCCCATTGCAGTAACAGCTGACATACAAGAAGCATTCAACGCCTGCAAAAATAACCTGTTACAAGCTACGCTCATCTCGCATCCTGATCCAGAGGCCGAGTTAGCGCTGTTTACAGACGCATCAGATGTTGCCATCGGAGCTGTCTTACAACAACGAAGACAGGATAGCTGGCAGCCACTAGGATTCTTCTCTCGCAAGTTATCTCCTGCTCAAACCAAGTACAGTACTTATGATCGTGAGTTGCTCGCGATACACGAAGGAATCAAGTACTTTCGGTATATGCTCGAAGCGAGAACATTTAAAGTTTTCACCGACCATAAACCCATCACATTCGCCTTCACAACAAGCCGAGATAACTGCTCACCCCGTCAACACCGCTACCTCGACTACATATCGCAATTTACTACAGATATCAATCATGTTACTGGAAATGACAACGTAGTTGCCGACGCATTTTCACGACTAGAAAGCGTCGACACTACCATCAACTACAAACAACTACAGAAAGAACAGGAAACAGATCAAGAATTACAGAACTTGCTTAGTAACAATACTGCATTAAAGTTAGAGAGAGTAAAAACTATGGATGCCTACATTTAATGCGACCAGTCTACTTCTCGCCCTAGGCCATTCATCACACCGACTTTCCGTAAGCAAATCTTCAAAAACCTGCAAAATCTCAGTCATCCAGGACCCAACGCAACAGCAAAACTGATCACAGAAAGATTTGTGTGGCCTAAGATTCGTCGTGACTGCAGAACATGGGCTCAACAATGCACAGATTGCCAACGAAACAAAGTCACCCGTCATACTCACTCTCCTCTTTCCTCATTCCCTGTACCTTCCAATCGCTTCTCCCACGTCCACCTTGATATAATAGGCCCTATGCCACTATCTTCTGGTTTCAGATACTGCCTTACAGCCGTCGATAGATTCACTCGATGGCCAGAGGCGTATCCTCTCGCTGACATATCAGCGGAGACCTGCGCCAGTACCTTCATTGCTGGCTGGGTTGCTCGTTTCGGATGCCCCGAAACCATCACCACGGATCGAGGCAAGCAATTTGACTCGCAGCTGTTCCAGAGCATCTCGTCCATCATAGGCGCTTACCATCGCCCCACGACATCCTACCACCCGCAGTGCAATGGGTTGGTGGAGAGGATGCACAGACAGCTGAAGGCCGCCATCATGTGCCACAACAACGCACAATGGTCGGAGACACTTCCTCTTGTTCTCCTTGGTATGAGGAGTGCCTGGAAGGAGGATCTACAAACCTCTGCAGCCGAACTGGTATACGGCGAGCCACTCCGGTTACCTGGTGAGTTTTTAAAACCCATAACTCACCACGGCATTGATGAAGCAGACTTCGCAGCACGACTGAGACAGCACATTTCTAAACTGTCACCTGCATTAACTACACGTCATGGCGAGAAAGTGTTTTATGTTCCCAAAGATCTAAATACAGCCACTCATGTCTTCCTGCGGAAGGGACCTTTGAAGAAGTCACTAGAATCACCGTACTCTGGTCCACATCTAGTCATTGAAAGAGGAACAAAAAATTTCACAATAGACGTCCAAGGAAAACACATCACTGTAACCATTGACAGGCTTAAACCAGCATATATGGCAAGCAATAATGATGGCTTGTCACACAAAGCATCGCCGTCTCCAAAACCATCATCTGCTCCATCGACGCCACCACAACCATCATCTGCTCCATCACCAGTTCCACCACAACCACAGTTGCAACCCAAGACCACCACAAGAAGCGGGAGAACTGTGAGATTCCCACAGCATCTTTCTCACTATCGACCGTGAACCGGTCTCAGCGGGGGAGTGATGTAGGATATAGCTAAGGTACAAGATAATATACATAACAAATACTTACATAAAACATACACACATACACTCACATTCATACCATAACACTTAAAACTTTACAACATTTGTACACGGCCTTATGCTTCCGCACGTTCGTACACACCCTTAGCTATACCTACACACGGCCCGGCCGCTAGCGGAGCCCCGGCCCGCGTTGATGGACTCGGACGCCTCGCGTGTTCGCGGAGCCGCCCGCTCGACACATCGAGCGCTGTCGTCGCCGTCGCCTCCCCGCGCTCAACCCGCACGCGCCCCCTCGCTCGCCCAGACAGTCCGCCACGGCTAGCGATCGCGCGCGCATCGAAATTATTATTCTCTTCTCGTTTTGTATAACCGTAACTTTATTTGATCTCATTATTGTATATTTATTTCTTATTTTAATATATAGACTTTATAACGTTAGTGCATTAGTTTTATTTATCTCGATAAACCTAATAGACACTACATACCCATTCATCAACATCTCACTAACAGCTAATTATCTTAATTCTACAGAATTGGAGCACCTCCTAGCTCATAGTGAAGCAAGGATCAAGCTGATAGTGACAGACGGTGTGTTCTCAATGGACGGTACTGTAGCACCGCTAAAGGGTCTCCGTGACTTGGCAGACAAGTACCGCACCCTATTGGCTGTGGACGACAGCCATGCCACTGGATTCTTTGGGGAAACTGGACGGTGAGTGAATTATTTTGAGACTGCACAGTTAAAATAAAACAAGCCCAGTTCATGAGACAGAAGAAAAGGTAAGCAATGTTATAAGCAACGTTTCTAAATGTTTAATAGTTTTCTCTACTTGTAGGGTCGTAGTTTATGACATTTACAAGGCCTCTGGTGACCATAGTCGCCCTTGTAAGACTTGTGTCGATTATCAAACAATTATCAAAAACAGACTTTTTTTAAAAGATTAACGAATGGAGTTGCTCGTTCTTCTCCACTCGAATCGACATTTTGGAACGAACGCCTAGCTTCACTGACGGACAGACTGACAGACTATTATTTATTTCATATTTGTTGACGTTTCAAAAGTAACAAATTATGGTTTAATTCAAGTAAATGCTTTTGAGTTTGATAACAGAAAGATTTTCATCGGATTTAATTAAATTATGAAGATCTATACAAGACTATTGGCGGGCGTCATCTTATCGAGGTTTTGCAATCAATTTATTATACCTAAAGTATTAAATCGACGCCGCGTTATATTGAATCAAGGTCTGTTACTATCACTGTTTAGTCCTTATCCTTAGTTCGAGTTCAAGTTACACGCTACGCTTAGATATGGATTTGGAACAAGTTTCCTTATAGACTACGAAATTAGATAAATTATGTACGCTATTTCTCAGACTTCTGACTTGGTTTACACTATCGAAACGATGGCAGTTTTGCTATTAACGACTCTTATACTTTGTCGTTGTGGATAAAAGTTCAACACTGTTCCTGTTTTTGTTAATTAAATACCATGAAATCATTTTTGTGTAAAATATTGCCAAGCCAAGACTTGTATTGTTACTAAATTATCAGATTCTTTGTAAAGTTAAGTTTCTAACTTCCACTTGCCATAGTCTAGAAACAACATCACTCTAATAATCTCCAATGTATGGCAGGTACTTTTGTACATTAATAATAGTTTTTTTTACATGAAAAAGGTTTTATAGCAAAGAAATAAAAAGGGACATATTTATGGACATATATATTTTATTCAACTAAAATCTAAAATACAATATCTAAACTATAATACTTACATACTAAAGTTATATATTACAAACATCAATCTCAATTCTACATACCGAATACCACATCAATGACTTAAATAAACACAATGCTAGGATAACCCTGGCCAGTTCACCCACAGTCGTCGAGAGATTGCTTATAGTTTCCGAAATGTTATCTCTGTATTCATTGGTTACCAAATGATACACCATTACTTGTGATTTTACATAAACAACAGATTGATTCCCGACTTCGAACACCACTTGATGTTGTTGCCTCATCGTACCGTTGTGTTTTCGCAACCATAATTTTTTACAATTCTTTTTCGTTTTGCACCAGCCCGCCCAAACCTCATCTGCCCAGTAAACGAAGATGATGGTGCCCCTATTGGTGAATTAACCAATTTGCAGACTTCGTATACCTCACTATTGTAGTTCATGGCAACAAATAGGTTATTCGTAGATTTTCGTTTTGTCGCACCAGTCCTCGTCTTTGTACAATTTGACGACGTCGACGGTTGTACACTATTAACAGTACTATCAACAGTAGCACAAACTTCGTACACTTCGTGATTTTTTACTGTATCGCAAAGTTCCATGTTGCTAGTCTCGATCTTTTTCTCCTTTTCATTAGGTTGAGATTTCGTTATCTTCATCGTGTTTAACGCCTTCGCTATGGACTTTACTTCATTGTCTTCGAACACTTCGTCGTCTCCAATTTCACAGTCAGCAAAGAAATCGTTGCCACAATCACGATCCATTTTGAAATGAAGTATTTAAGAGGTTTCTACAAAGAGGTCTTAGATTTTACCTAAGCTGAATGTCGTGACCGTCTGTGTGGTTGGATCCTTACTGCGTTATTTTACTCTAAGGTGCATTGGGGCCAGTGGGTACCTGCTCAGTGACTCAGAGCCCCCTTTTGTACGGGGCCCATGTACATGGTATTCTTAAATACTACGTGGGTAATCCGACACTGGCAACAAAGTAATCTTTTGTCTGCCAATATAATAACAATAATAACCGTTTACACAAAATTACGGGTTTTGTCTTCATTTTGTTTAATTCAAGGCTGAGTAGGTAAGACCATGGTATTTTCTCACTATGGAGTTTATAGGTACTTGTCATGCTGTAATTCGAAATAAATGCAGCCTTTTTCCGCCGCAGAGCACCGGACATTGCATGTGCTTTAATTTGTCCATTTTTCTTTTACGCCATTAAACACTTTGTTGAATGTGATATGAATCTTTGTAGAGCAGGATGGTTAAAGCTAAAGATAATTTATTTGCAAATATGGGTAATACAATATGTGGTGTTTAGTTACCAATTAAGTTACAGCTATCATGCAAATATGGCATGCAAATATAAATTAACAAAATATTTAAAAATTTAAATTGATAACAATTTAAATTAACTCGTCGAGTACTGGTTTTGTAGACACAATTATAGAACAATAGGTTGCGGTCACCGGTGACCGCTTGGTGTTTGACAGTTTAATAAATAAATAAATATTTACAACTTAAAATATAAATAATTAAAAACTAAAATATTTACACCTTTAAAAAAAATTATCTTAAGACATCAACAAAAAACTTTAATTAAATACTAGTAAATCAATATTATGCTATGTACTTTTTAAATTGAATACAGACATTAAAATATTACATTAAACATTAAAATTAAAGTCACATTAACAGAATAAAGGTACATTGTCAAAAGATTAGTTAAGAAATGGCATAATAATTTTTTATTTATTTTTAACAGTCACAACGGCAGAAATTCCTATTATAGTAACTGACATAAATAGATGAAATGCCCAAGATAATATGTAGTAACTAAAATATTATTCTATTCCATTGTCTCCACATCTATGTGAGGGTACATGAGTAAATACATGCAGGTTATTATGAACAAATAAAGTTGTTACGAGTATATGCAGTGACAGTAGTGTGAGGATTGTATGCTTAATAAATAATGGTTTACAGGTTTCCATACTTTGAATACCGAACATAGCATGTATGCATCGTTTATGCACTTTGAATACCATGTCTCTATCAGTGCAACTGCCCCCAAAAAATAATGCTATACCTGAGGGCAGATTCAAGAAGCCCGTAGTATGCACACAGTAGTGCACTATGGTGGATGGTTGGAGCAAGTTTGTATAAGGTTTATGAGAGACTACTGATCTTTTTACATAGTAAGTTTATATGTTCTTTCCAGTTCAACTTACTGTCAATAGTTAGGCCAAGAAAACGAGCCATACCAGCTTCGTTTATTGTATAATTATTATATGTCAACTTTAATTTTGTAATCTTTGTCCGAAGTGCATACTTAATATTTGGTTTAGTCAGATTTATTTTTAAATTATTATTGTTCAACCATGAGATTATAATATAATTATTATAATCATTACATAATGATTATAATTATATAGAGTTATTAATGTCAGAATTATAATGTATCATTGTACATTCTGGAATCTAATTTACACTAGTTTGTTAAATTATCAGACATCAGAGAAACTCGTATGCATACTAAATACTTAAATCATTTATGTCACACAAAATGTAAAACGGCTCTAATGTATAAAAGCTTCTTTGGTATCGCTCCTAGAATTTATAATAAAATACCAGATCAAATAAAACGATTACCCGTCCACAAGTTTAAGAAAATTATGCAAAAAAAAATAATGACAGCACAGTTGACGATTTGTTAAATGATTAAATTTCTGCCAAGACTTATATTTATTTTTTTCATTATTTACTTATGTACTAACGTTATTTTTTAATTGCGACTTTTTTTAATTATGACATTTTGTTTAATTGCAACATTTTTATTTTTTATTGTAACCCACAAAAGTAAACCTAACTCCAAAATATATTTGTCTTAGCATAGACAAAACATAGCGCACTGTGTTTACCTTTATGATCTGTATTTTTGTTACCTGTTTTACAAATAATAAATGATTGATTGATTGAATGGTGAATGTCTTTACTTGCGATTGTACTACATGTAATAATGTCATAAATACCAGTAACGCGGGTAGGCGCCAATACACGTTAGACATGGATTTTTTAAATAACCCAAATAGCATTTTTTTATTCAAAATTCATTAGTATAATATATAAATGCATTTGAAATAAAGTCATAAGCCAGCTTACTACCTGCACAAGTATTATATCACTCACTGTAGTGGTTACTTGATAGCCATGGGAACTGAAGTCGTAAAGGTCCACAAGATGATGGAGGAGAGGATCCAGATGAGGTTCAATGATCTAGAGGCACAGATTCAGACTGCTGGACCGGCTAAGGACACCTTATACACCAGACACCAGAATAGCTGAGAAGTTCCAGAGCTACAGAAAGTTAGTTCACGGCATGTTCGGTATGCTTCGTCAACTAATTGCAGATTGCGTCAAACAGTTTGACGATACTGAGATTCGGCGTCGGAGGAAGGCTCTTCTGTTCCATGGAGGAAACGGACAGTGAATACTGCCACTCAGTGGTTGTGGACATACTAAAGACCAAATTGTCACTACATAAAATTGCGCCCACATCATTTAAGGCCTGTCATAGACTGGGATTTTCGGTCTCTGACCACAAGCAAAGACCAATATTAGTAAGATTTGGCAGCATTGCAGACAAGTCACTGGTGTGGAGGGCCAGAAAGGGTCTGAACGGCTCCTTCAACTTGGTCAGAGTATCTGACTAAAACCCAGCAAGTCGTCTTTGGCAGGGCGCGTCTTCATTTCGGAGTCAGATCGTGTTGAACCCAGGATGGTGTCATCGTGATCAGGACCCAGGATGGAAGCAGACACAAGATCGCTACGATGAACGCGTAGGACCCGCTTCTGGCCAAATATCCAACAGCCGCGAATGATGACCTGCGTACAAGAAACAAATAGGTATTACTAAACGACATAATCTTTTAGGTGTGGTGTAGATACTAGATACTGTGCTTATCCATTAAAT